ACCCACCAGCCACTCCTCGGAGGGAAGATGGGGCAATCTACTTCTGCAGTGATACTGCCTCAGAAACCCAAGGAGGGGTCTCTATGAGTCAGGTCTGACTCGACGGCACATAACAACAACAACAACAACATAGTTATTACTCACTTGTCTTTTCACTGATGAAAGCCTTTTATTGCCTTTATGAGTGCAACATTTTTTAAAGGATATTGCTTTAAAACATAAAGGTAAGAATTACATTAACAACATGATCCCCCTCTTGCTTATTCGGATGCAGTGGGATTAAGTGCAGTTCTATATAAGATGTATAGTTGTGTCAGAATATTTATACATTCTATCAAACTTCTATTTTTTTTTAAAATGGATTAACTTGTGAAAATGTATTTACTGCTACATTAATCATCCTTGTGGCACCGAGGTTAAAGTGCTCAGCTGCTAACTGTAAGGTTGATGCTTGGAACCCACCTTGCTGCTATGTGGAAAAAAGATCTGGGTCTGCTTCCATAAAATTCCAAACTCAAACCTACTACTATCAGGTTGATTCTGACCAATAATGACCTTGTGGGACAGAGCAGAGCTGCTCTATCGAGTTTGTAAGGCTGTAAATCTTTATGGATGTGTGCTGCCCCATCTTTCTCCTCTGGAGCAGCTGGTGGATTTGAACCACAAACCAGTTAGCAGGTGTGTGCTTTACGCACCGCACCACCAGGGCTCCTTCCCATAGATTACAGCCTTGGAAACCCTATGGGGCTGTTCTTCTTTGTCCTGTAGTGTCACTATAAATCAGAATTGACTCAAGGGCATACAACAACAAACATCGCAATGCTAGACTGTTGTGTGCCATAATTTGCATAAGTCATATACTGTATTTTCAATTTAGGTGTATTACATTTAATTTAATACATTGTTTTGATTACATGCATTATGCCTGAAGCAATGGCTTACAGTATTGAGTATTACCAGTATGTCTTTCTGGTTTCAGGTTGTGGAAAATGCTCTGAAAGTGAACCCAGTGTTAGGTCCACAAATGTTTCAACCAATTCTACCCTGTGTTTTCAGGGGGATTATAGAAGGGGAGGTAAGATTTTTCTAATGCTTCTAAGGCTAATTCTGGACTCTGTGGTTCTAATATAACTGTTATAATAATAGTTCTAATTATTCTCCTTCATTAGGAAATTCTTTTTTCTTCATTGTTTGATATAAAAAAACAGAGTTTCTTTTTATCTGAATCATCTTGAAGCAAGTTAAATATATTTTCAGGGTAGTTAACACAACTTTGCCTTTTCCTCCTCCACACAGATTTCCTTCAACATTTCATCCCTTTCACTGATGTACATCTGTATTCACACAGTAAATGTTTTGGTTACCTAGTGCTACTCTGACAGGAATATACCACAAATGGGATGGCTTGAACAAACAGGAGTTTATTCTCTTATGGCTTGAAGGCTCTAAGTCTGAATTCAAAGTGCCGGTCTCTAGAGGCTGGGTGAACCTTGGGCTTCAGCTCTCCCTACTGTTCCTGGCCCACTGAGGCTAGAGGCTTTTCTTCACTCAGCTGCTGGCTGCTGGGGCTGACAAGTAAAAAGGCACAGTCCCGATGTTACCAAACCACACAGCAGGCCATTAATTCAAGTCCATTGAAAGTCCCCAAGTCGGCAGAGAATGGCAGGCTGCTGAACAACAACTTGGCTACAGGCAGGGTTCAAGCGTGCCATAAGCTAGAGACCATTCCCAAAGCTTATATACGGTAAGCAGACCACACCCCGAAAGCAGCTACTCAGCTGCTTGTGGTAGATCCCACCATGGAGCTGATTGCCAGTCTCATCATGGGGAATAACTACCACTAGCTGCCCACCCACTCAACCAGGCCCAACCAAGTTGACAGAGAGACTTAACTACCACAGTAATTCAAAGTAGAAGGAATAGTTGGTGACTTAATTCCAATTGGACAACTCAAACTCCTGGTTTTTTTGTAAATCTAGCTCTAAAATAGATTTATGTAACCATGTTAGGAGCATTTAAAGCAATATAAGTGTGCCATTGATTGCTTTCTCTGACACGCAGTCATACAGATGTATTTATATGTATATAGGAAGTTAGTTAAAACTCTCCTTCATTTATTAGAATGAATTTATTAGTATTTATTTATCATTTAGAATTAAGCTCATTCTAAAGAAAAGCAATATGAATAATATTATCTTATACCCCTGATGATTGTTGTTACTGCTTATATGTGTACCTTAAAAAAATTTTTCGTATGCTGTATTTTAATTGTACAGAGGTATCCTGTCGTGATGTCCACATATCTTGGAGTTATGGGACGAGTCCTGCTACAAAACACTAGTTTCTTTTCTTCACTTCTTAATGAGATGGCCCATAAATTTAATCAGGAGGTAAGAAATAATATGTTTAAATTTAAGGAGGTATTTATCCAAATACAAATAGGAAACAGTTTGATGAAATACTGAGACTTTATTTAAAAAGTCCTTGTGTATTATTTAAACTGTTACATTTTAAATATTTGATAACTTATGCTGTACTCATAATTTGAGAGAGAAGAAAGAAAGGAATCTGAGAATGGTAATAGCAACTTTCATATTTTGTTATTGCTCAAATTAGGTAATTTTATTTCACATAAGCATAGGATCGAATTTTGATTTGTATTTTTCATAAACATTCTGAAACAGGAATGCTTTACATAATCATGTATTTTCTTTGTTTCATTTTTTTACTCAATTCATTCTAAATGGCATGGATTGAGAGTTTCCATTATAATTGCTGTTGAAAATGACCTTTCTAGCAAAGGCTTATTAGAAAAATATTGTAGGGGAGACCAACCAACAGTGTGTAAGTTCTTGAGTTGGTTATTTGAAATTGTATATACTATAGTAAGAGCTCTGGTAGCATAGTGGCTAAAGCACTTGACTGCTAACCAGAAGGCTGGTGGTTCAAACCCACCAGCCACTCCTCGGAAGGAAGGTTGGGCAATCCTACTTCCGTAGTGATACTGCCTTGGAAACCCAAGGAGGGGTCACTATGAGTCGGGGCCGACTCGATGGCAAACAACAACAACAACAACAATAGTCAAATAAGATTTTGTGTTTTGAGGTCATTTGACTATAAGCTTTACATGATTTAGAAGATATAATGTAATTAACCTGTATCTCTAGAATGGAGCACATTTGTCAAATCATTTCACTTATGACAGAAACAAATACAGCTATCTGTACTTCAAGGACAAAGAACACAAATTTTGAACGTATATAGTTTTTCTTCTTATTGTTGTTGTTAGGTGTTGCCAAGTTGGCTCTGACTCATAGCGACCCCATGTATAACAGAATGAAACGCTGTCCTGTCATGTGCTATCCTCACAATCCTTTTTATACTTAAGCCCATCATTGTAGCTGCTGTGTCAATCTGTCTTCTTGAGGGTCTTCTCCTTTTACGCTGACCCTCCACTTTACTAAGTATAATATCCGTCTCCAGGGAATGGTCCCTTCTGACAACATGACCAAAGTAGGTAAGAGGAAGTGTAGCCATTCTCCCTTCCAAGGAGCATTCTGGCTGTACTTCTTCCAGGACAGATTTGTTTGTTCTTGTGACCAATGTTATGTGCCAGGAAGTCAGACCTGACTTATAGTGACCCCTCCTTGGGTTTCTGAGGCAGTGTCGCTACGGAAGTAGATTGCCTAACCTTCCTTCTGAGGAGTGACTGGTGGGTTTGAACCACCAGCCTTCTCTTTAGCAGTCAAGTGCCTTAAGCACTATGCTACCAGAGGTAATCCATGGTATTTTCAGTATTCTTCGCCACACCACAATTCAAAGGCATTGGCTTTTCTGGGGTCTTATTTGTTGTCCAGCTTTCACATGCATAAGAGACGATTGAAAATACCATGGCTTGGGTTATGCACACCTTAGTGTTCAACTAAGGTGCCTTTACTTCTTAACACTTTAAAGAAGTCTTTTGCAACAGATTTGCTCAATGCAATATGATGTCTGATTTCTTGACTGTTGCTTCCATGGACATTAGACCTGATAAGTTGTGGAATGACATTGAGAACATTCTACATGAAGAAAACAAAAGTCATTAGGAGGACCAAAGAAAGGAAACACCAAAATGGATGTCAGAAGAGACTCTGAAACTTACTCTTGAAAGTAGAGTAGCTAAAGAGAATGCAAGAAATGATGAAGTGAAAGAGCTAAACAGAAGAGTTAAAGCACGATTTGAAAAGACACAAAGGGAAGTATTCTAATGAAATGTACAATGACCTGGAGTTAGAAAAGCAAAAGGGAAGAACACAGCCAGCATTTCTCAAGATGAAAGAACTGAATTAAAAATTAAAGCCTCAGTTTGCAATATTGAAGGATTCTGTGGGCAAAATACTGAATGATGATGGAACCATCCAAAGAAGGTGGAAGGAATACACAGTCACTCAACCAAAAAAAATTGGTCAGTATTTGTGCATTCCAGAAGGTAGCATGTGATCAAGAACCAATGACATTGAGAAAAATGTCCAAAGTGCACTGGAGGAGTTGGTGAAAAATAAGGCTCCAGGAATTGAAGGAAAACCCATTAAGATGTTTGAAGAAAGGGATGCAGTATGGGGATGCTTACTCATTTATGCCAAGAAATTTTGGAACATAGCTACCTGCCCATCTGACTGGAAGAGATCTGTATTTGTGCTTATTCCAAAGAAAGCTCATCCAATAGAATGTGGAAATTATTGCATAATACCATTAATATCACATGCAAGTAAAATTTTTCAGAAGATAATTCAAAAGTTGTTGCAGCATTATTTTGACAGGGAACTGTGAGGAATTCAAGCTGGATTCAGAAGAGAGTGTTCAATGTGGGATATCATCACTAATGTCAGTTGGATCTTGGCTGATAGCAAAGAATATCAGATAGATGTTTACCTGTGTTTTATTGACTATGAAAAGGAATTGGACTATGTGTATCATTCTAAATTATGGTAACATTGCAAAGATTGGGAATTCCAGAACACTTCATTGTACTCATGAGGAACCTGCACATAGACCAAGATACAGACTTTCTGACAGAGCAAAGGGATCTTGCATGGTTTACAGTCAAGAAGAGTGGGTCAGGGTTGTATCCTTTCACCATACTTAATGTGATAGTTGGAGCTGTGTGTCAACTTGGCTGGACCCCAGTTCTGTGTGGTTGTTCCCATGATGGGATCAGATGATTGTGTTCTGAGTGGCCAGTCTGCCCAAGGGGAGTTTCCCTAGGGGTGTGGCCTGCTTCCAGGATATCCAGGGACATCCTGGGAAGAGAGACATTCTTCTGTGGATTGGGACTCTGGGGTGCTGCCTACAACCTTCCAGGAGATCTTGGATTTGTTTTTCTTTAGAGTCAACAGCCAGTGTACTGCTTGCCAGCCTTGAGTTTCTCAGCCCCCTGCAGTAGCGGAAGCTAAGGCTGCCTCCAGCCCAACGTTTCCTCCAGGGACTTTGGACTTGCCGGCTTCCATACGATTGTGAGCCATTTTCCTAAGATAAATTTCTCTCTGTCTCTCTCTCTCTCTATATATATAAGCTTTGCTGGTTCTTGTTTCTCTAGAGAACCCAGTCTAACACACTTACTGAATGTGTATGTTGAGAAAATAATCTGAGAAGTTAGATTATATCAAGTAAAACATGGAATCTGGATTGGAGGAAGATGCATTAATAACTTGCGATATGCAAGTGACGCAGCCTTGCTTTCTGAATGTGAAGATGACTTGAAGTGTACTTATTGATGAAGATCCAAGACTACCGTCTTCAGTATAGATTATACTACAATGTAAAGAAAACAAAAATCCTCACAACTGGTTCAGTAATCAACATCATGATAAATGGAGAAAAGTTTAAAGTTGTCAGGGGTTGATCTACAATCAACACCCATGGAAATAGCAATCAAGAAATCAAACATAATATTGCACTGCGTAGATCTTCTGCAAGGGGCTTCTTTAAAGTCTTAAGGGGCAAAGATGTCACTTTGAAGACTTAAGTGCACCCAATCTGAACCTTAATATTTAATCGCTCCATATGTATGTAAAAGCTAGATAATAAATAAGGAAGACTGAAGGAGAATCCATGCCTTTAACTTGTGTTGGTGAAGAATTCTGAAAATATCGTAGACTGTCACAAGAACAAACAGATCTTTCCTGGAAGAAGTGTAGCTGGAATGCTCTTTAGAAGTGAGAATGGCCAGACTTCATCTCACTTACTTTGGTCATGTTGTCAGAAAGGACCAGTCCCTGCAGAAGGATATCATGCTTGGTAAAGTAGAGGGGTCAGCAAAAAAAGGGGAAGACCCTTAGTGAGATGTTTTGACACAGTGGCTACAGTGATGGGCTGACGAATAGTAGGGATTGTGATGACAAGACTGGACATTTTTTTCCTTGTGTTGTACATAGGGTCACTATGAGTTGAAGCTGACTCGATGGCACCTAACAACAAGAGCAGTTAACAACCTTTTGGTTCGCAGCCTAGTGCTTAAACACTGAGTGACCAAGTCTCCTTGATTGAAGACAAAAAACCAAAAACCAGTTCTTTTGCCATCAAGTCAATTCTAATTCATGGTGACTGTAAAGGACACAGTAGTACTGCCCCATATGATTTCCAAAACTGTACAATTACAGAAACTGGCAGCCATATTTTTTCCTGCAGAGTAGCCCGTGGATTCATAGCATATACTTTCAGTTAGCAGTCAAGTGCTTTAACCGCTGTAGCACACCATGGTATAAATCGAGAGCTGCTAAACTGTTTGGTTTTTGGTGCTTCATGCCTCCAGAGTGTTTCCATGGGCCAAAGACATCTAACAGTTGCATTTATTAAGTAGTTAGGGCCAAACAACTTTATTTGTATTTATATCCTAGTAATTTAGTGACCATGGAAAAAATAATACACAGATATCTAAAAAAGAGTAACTTTCTAAGTTTATTCTTAAATAACCACAGTTTCTTACTGTTCATAGCATATATGTCTGTGTTGGGCACTACCCATATTTTCAAATCTTGGAATCTGTACAGTTCTACTCATTTTCTGTTCTACCTTGACTCTTAGGCAGTAGTTTGTAAAAAAGATGAATCATTAGAAGAAATGTAATGTTGAAACTTGGAACTGCTATGATCTGGTGGTTCTTCCAGTGTCTGATATGTGTTACTGTTCTCGCAAAATTTAAAATATTCTGTGAGTTTGTTGTGGCATCTTAGAGCACAGTTTGAGAAATTCAGGTATAAATAATCATTTCCAATTCTTAAGTGTTTGCTTGGCTTTTCATTGTAAGTAATGTGCTGAGACATTTCTTTGGAAAGATGTAGAATTACTAAAATAGAAAAGAATGAGAAGTTAAAGTTGATTTTATGTTATCAATATCCATCCAGTACTGATTTTTATATTAAATGGCACATGTAAATGTCTAAGAAGTGATGCATTTCTTTTCCTTTGAAATTCAGGAGGTTGAGGTTGCAAGCTGTTTTCCCTCTGAGAGTAACAACAAATCTGTCTAGTAAATTATAGAATATTGAACCATAATTTTCCAACTGAATAAACTATAACCAAAGTATAAGTTGACAGTTTTGAAAAATGCATGTACTATTTAAGTGTAATAGTAAGAGTATATTAAATTGATGATTTATTAAATATAGTTACTAAAATCACTCATTGATTACATACTGGTTTTGAACAAATCTCTGTAGCTCTGAGGATTAATTGGCTGTGAAACGAGTTAGGCGTTACTTACATTATCTCTTTCCAGTGAAGGCCTGCTTCACATTTAGGCATTCAAATTCTGTAGTTTGCTGGAATTGAACTTTAACCATGCCTTGTGATGTTTTAGCCTTTAACGGTATTTATCTGCAGGTAAATGGCCTTTCAAATATTCTGAGATGTCTTCTCTTTTTTTTGTTTTAGATGGACCAGCTTTTGGGAAATATGATTGAAATGTGGGTTGATCGCATGGACAACATTACCCAGCCTGAAAGAAGAAAACTTTCAGCTTTGGCTTTGCTTTCTCTTCTTCCATCTGATAACAGGTGAGGAAATGTTTTCTTAAAATCTGTTTCTTTCAAACATTGTTAACACTATTTATGGTGTTTAGTATTGCTGTGTGTTGCTAGGCACTGTTGCTTTTATGTTTCTATATACTAATTTTGTTAGTAGATAATGATGTGGCAAATGTTGATCTAGATCTAGAAAGATGTAAATAGGACATTTACTCTTGAGTAATGGGGGCTGCAGTTTCATTTGGTCATATTAATTTCACCCATTTATTTCATCCTTGTGTCAATTTCTATTTTTTCATAATAACCAGATTTTATTAGACTTATTTTATGTCTGTGTAGTGATTCAAAAGTATCTTTATTTTGTTATCTTTTTATTTTGAATTATCTCTTAAAGAAATTTGCAAGTTTTTATTTTTCTCCTTAGAGAAATGAAGTCCTTTTATTATACTTTATGTCCTTTGTTAAAATTCTCATATCGATTTCAAAACAAACGCAAAATGCTTTGATTTGGACATTTAAAGAAGACTCTGTTCTTTGTTTTTATTTCCTGTCTTTGTTGAGTTTGGCCTTATGCATCTTTTTTTTTTTTTTCCCCATAATCAGTGAGAAGAACAACAATAACATATTAGATCTTTATGTCTCAGGGATGTTGTCGGGAATATAGGCATCTTAGTGATAAATTAATGGCATAAGTCCACTCAGTTTTAGAAAGCCTTATTTTTCTTTATGCATAATTTACTTCTAGTAAGATAAGTTGGATTAAGAACATAGAATATTGTTTTATACTGTCCCTATAACAATAAAAAATAGTCAATCACTTACATACCCCATATACATTGCTAGATGCTTTACAATTATATCTCATTTAATCCTTAAAACAGACCCATGAGCAATAGGTATGACCATTTCTTTTTTACATAGCAAACAAATGCCTTAAAATGTTAAGTAATTTGCCTAGGGTTAGAGATCTAGCATGTAGCACAGGCCAAATTTAAACCTGGATACCTTGATATCTGGGCTGGCTCTTTTCACTAGCAGGTGTGACACTGATTCCCAGGTGGATGTGTATAAGACCAGTGTATTTCCTCACTGAAATTTAATGACATATTATTTGTTTCTGGAAACCAGCTTTAAGTTATCTACATTTTATCTTACTGCTGATTTCTTTCTCTTAGTGATGAAAGAGTAGTTTGAGAATTATTCAGCATTTTTGAAGTGTTAATGGTCCCAGTCTTTCGTAGTAGTCCATTTGTTGAATAAATTAACAGAAAAAATAAGATTAATAAAGCATGATAGAATTGTCTGTAATCCTATTTAATTAACATAATAAAGAACCCAAATAGGATTATGGCCAAAGGCACAGGTTAGGATTTATAACACATTTTTGGGAGAGAATACTATTCAATCCATACCAATGCTTAATTGTATCAGAAGCTTAGTGTTTTATATATATTTTTTATGAGAATGTTCTTTGCATCAGTACTTCATTTTATTTAAGTGTGATAGTTCAAAAATAATTTTGATATATAACCTGTGTAAACTCAATAGTTGGCTTCTATAAGGAAAATTAATACGTGGACTGGGGCTTATGGCAACCTCTTTAAATTGAGAGAGAGAACTTTATTATGACCAGAAAATTCTCTTTTTTTTAAAAAAAAAATTTTTTTATTGTGATTTGGGTGAAAGTTTACAGAACAAGTTCATTTTTCTAGTTCATACACATTTTGTTTCATGACATTGACTGCAGTGCCCCACAGTGTAACAGCTCTCTTCCCCACTTCCTCACTGTAGTTACCTCTTCTCTGTGTCATTCTTTCCTGTGCATTTCTGCCCCATCCCCAGCTGTCTTCCTGTGCAAACACTGCCCTTCTATTCCCCCATGATTCATTGCTCTAAAGAGTATATCCACCAGATGTAAATGTCCACCCTATATGCATATCTGTTGTTTGACTGGAAGCCACAGAAGTAAACTCAGTTCCAGGGGTCTCACCACCTCTATCAGACCAATAGACTTGGGCTTTTTTTATGATTTTGAGTTTTGTTCCACATTGTTCTCTCATTCTATTCAGGATCTTCTGCGCTGATCCCTTTCCAAGTGATTAACAGTGGTAGCCAGGCACCATCTAGTGCTTCTGGTCTCATGGTAAGACCAGAAAATTCTCTTAAACATTATAATTTCACACATTAAAGTTGTGAGTTGATAGCTTTGTGATGGGGAGAGCAGATTTTTGTTTTTGAAATGAAGTGTTGAAAAATCTGATAGGCATTAGTGAAATCCTGTCTTTTTAAGGGTACCGAGAAAGTTCTGAAGAATGTGGTAAAGGAATTTTAAAGAATAATGGTTAAACTTCATAATGTCCATAATAGACTAGTGATTAAAGAAACATTGATCGAAACCGAAATTGTAACAATCTGAAAACAAAGAAACTTTTCTTCTTTATCCCCAAGGATTGCTTCCTGGTTAATTTTCCCTGTAATAATAATTTCCTGGTCCTGCATTTTTTTTTTTTTTCAGATTTTGCCCTAGTATGCATGCCTAGTGAATAATGTTAATGACTTTTGAGTCAGATTTCTTTTATTACTGTACCTGATATTCAAATGCAGAAATAAATCTATTGCTTTAAGGCAAGATTTCTCAACCTCGGCACTAGTGACATTTTGGGTCAGATGATTATTTATTGGGGGTGAGTGCTATTCTAAGCATTGTTGGATATTTTATAGCATTCTTGGTTTCTACCCAGTAGTAGATGCCAGTAGCATATCTTTCCCTCCTTCTGAAAGATATCTTCAGACATTGCTATCAGACATTACCTTTCTGACAGAATTGCACCCAGTTGAGAAGCTGCTGTGAAGAAAGATCATTTGGAAAATTATTAAGCTTTCTTTTATTCTAATGCACTACTCTTGATTCAGAAACTTAGTGAAGGCTATGTTGTTGTTGTTATGTGCCGTCGAGTGGGACCGACTCATAGCGGCCCTCCTTGGGTTTCCGAGGCATTATCACTACTGAAGTAGATTGCCCCATCTTCCTTCTGAGGAGTGGCTGGTGGGTTTGAACCACCAGCCCTCTGGTTAGCAGTCAAGTGCCTTAGGCACTATGCTACCAGAGCTCCTAGTGTGCCCATATGTTATAAGAATTTTTCTTTACTAATTGCTCCGCTTGCCTCATTTCTGACTTATCTCTCTTGTCATTTTTTTCCACCAGTATATTCTGTGGTTTCTGAAAACAGTGTCTATATTACAGGCATTAGGAACATGTCCCAAGATTCTTGAGACTTCAGTGTTTGTGAAACAGATGCTAAGTTCAGATTTTATCCACATTCTTTCCTAGTATGACAGAAATCCAGAAAATAGGAAAATGAAGAGAGAAATCTAAACATCTTTAGTGTTAACTTTGCTATTCATTCAGCGTTAACTTTGCTATTCATTCAGTGTTACCATTCATTAACCAGGTTGAACGATTTTGATATTACAGTGTGAGATTCATTTTAGTTTGCCAAAATTTTAGCCTTGTAAGACTGTATATATTTCTTCAGACTACTTCAACAGAATCTATCAGGATCAAAATGAGGGATATGGTGTTGGTGTGGATGTGATACTATGTGAGGCTCTTAGTCAGATTTGAATGATAAAAATAAGTTCTTGCATCTGAAATGTAAATTTTTACTGAGAACGTAAACTGAAAGAAATAACCAAATTCAGAATGCAGAAAGTTAGGTATAGAAAAATCTAGCCGTGGGTCATTGATATCTTTGATCTAGTTGTTGTTGTTTTGTGCCGTCGAGTCGGACCCACCTCACAGCGACCCCTCCTTGGGTTTCTGAGGTGGTATCACTACAGAAGTACATTGCCCAACCTTCCTTCCGAGGAGTGACTGGTGGGTTTGAACCGCCAGCCTTTTGGTTAGCAGTCAAGTGCCTTAGGCATTACGCTACCAGAGTTCCATTTGATCTAGTAGTTACACATCTTCATAAGTAGTCCAGTGTTAGGAACAACTAAGGGAGATGAACTTGTCTGTCAGTTTGTAGGCTTGTGATGGTTTGCTGTGAGGCTGGAGGCTATGTCACAAGTGTTGCAAAATGCCAGCAAGATTACCTATGGTGGACAAGTTTCAGGGGAGCTTCCAGACTAAGACTCAGAAGACGGATAAGGGCATTCATTTCTCAAAGAATTGGCCAGTGAAAACCTTATGAATAGCAGTGAAACACTGTCTAATATATTACTGAAAACTTTATGCGTAGCCCTGAAACATTGTCCAATATAGTGCCAGAAGATGAGCCCATCAGGTTGGAAGGCACTCAGAATACGACTAGGGAAGAGCTGTCTCTCTTAGTAGAGCCAAATGTAATGATACAGATGGAGTAAAGCTTTGGGGACCTCCATTAGCTGATGTGGCACAACTCAAAATGAGAAACAGCTGCAAATGTCCATTAATGATTGGAACATGGAAGGTACGAAGTATGAATCTAGGAAAACTGGAAGTTGTCAAAAATGAAATGGAAAGCATAAAGATTTAGATCCTGGGCATTAGTGAGCTGAAATAGATTGGTTTTGGCCATTTTGAATCAGACAACCATATGATCTACTGTGCTGGGAATGACAAATTCAAGAGGATTGGTGTGGCGTTCATCATCACAAAGAATGTTTCAAGATCTATCTTGAAGTATAAGCTGTCAGTGATAAGATAATATCCATACACCTCTATGGAAGACCAGTTAATACACTATTATTAAATCTATACACCAACCACAAAAGCCAAAGATGAGGAAATTGAAGGTTTCTACCAGATTCTACAGTCTGAAATTGACTGAACATGCAGTCAAGATGTGTTAATTATCACTGGTGATTGGAATACAAAAGGTGGAAACAAAGAAGAGTCACTGGGAGTTGGAATAAATGGCCTTGGTGATAGAAATAACACTGGAGATTGCATGACATGATTTTGCAAGACCAAAGACTTATTCACTGCAGATACCTTTTTTCAACACCATAAACGACGGCTATACATATGGACTTTGCCAGATGGAGTA